TCCCGCGAAAAGAAGTACCAATCTCCCAAGCCGGTTTACCGCTACTTGCTTTTCAGATCTACTCAAATAAGCTCGCTCCGAAAAACCGCGTCAATATCTTGATTCCCTAGTCCAGTTTTATCCGCGCGTGCATATTGAAGAAGTTCTGTTCAGGAGACCGTTGAGGATATCGACAAGAACAAGGATGGGTTCGTGGACTTGGACGAGTACATTGGAGATATGTACCGCCCAGACGACTATCCTGAGCTCAACGGAAAGGTGAATCACTTCAGATTAAGGAGTCCGCGAGAATTTTCTTCAAGCTGTTCCAAATTTAGGAACCCGACTGGGTCCAGTCTGAACGTGAAATGTTCAAGGAACACCGAGACAAGGATGGAGATGGCAAGCTTAACCAGGTGACCTAGAGCACCTAATTTTGTGAATAAACTGAAAAAAGTAATCTTGTGTTTTCTTTCAGGAAGAGATGAGGGATTGGATCATGCCTGTCGGTTTTGATCACGCCGAAGCTGAAGCCCGTCATTTGGTCGGAATTCGCTGATGACAATAAGGTGAGACTATTTCGGTCCTTCATAAATTGCTAGTTTCAAGTTAGATGTACAACCACTGTGAATCCGGTGATGGTTCCTGATTAGTGGGTGCTGGATTTGACCAATCACGGGTCTCCATAGGCGGAGTGCATGATTCAAGGTTGAGTAAGACCGACCTTCGATTGTATCTTATGTATAGAGTCGAGAATGAGAAAAGCGATAAGAAAATAACAAAGTGGTAATAGAAAAATCAATAAGTGCGCCCAAAATGTGGGCGGGGTTGTCTGGGGCGGAGCCAAATGTGTCGCCCTTGTTTTTATCCCAGCTATTCAATTATTTTACTCTTTCAGGATGGCAAGTTGTCACCGGAAGAGATCATCGCTCATTATGACACGTTTGTGGGATCACAAGCCACCGATTATGGCGAGCAGCTCCAGAAACACGATCCAGCAGAGCTGTAATTTTGAGCAACGCAATATTTCATCATAAAATATGTCTAAGTGGGGATAGTTACTGCCATGGCTAGTAGCTTACGTTTGATTGTGAGATCGTTGCATATGGTACTGGTTAATGTGCCTTGCTCTCTGCTCTCACTCAAATCAATATAATATTTTCCGCAAACAGGTCATATCTTATTTCTTATTTTTTTCTCGCCTGCTGTTGGCCTCTCGACTTTCACTGGTGTTGTTTCTTTGTTTTGTCCGTTGATTAATTATTTGGAGTGTAATAAATGAACCAAAGTTCTTTACAAAGTCGTACCGAATTCAAAGTGGCTTGTATGAGAAAGCTTCTGCATTGGTGTGACAGTTCTCACTTTTGGAATGAGCCGTGCAGGGTATTTTAGTTCCTATCCATGCATTGCCAGTCGCGTTCAGGATGCCACGTTTCGGTCGCTACAGTACCAAAGCATGGGGCTAGTCGATGTTCGAGTAACGTAGTTATTTTCCTAGAAGGGTTTAGCATCACTTTACAGGCGCTCTGTAAAGCACATACAGTTGACATCTTGGAGAAGGGAAGGCGTGAGTGGGTGCTTACTTGAATGTAGCAGCGGCCGCGCTTTTGCTGGGATGTTGCCGTAGTCACGCGCACCACATTTCCGAGACAGGTTTTTCACAGTCCATCTCTCAGCTCTGAAGGGGGAGTGTCCACGCACTAAGGTGGGGAAAGGCCATGATGGGTACTTCTCGGTGTGGGCGAACAGACATCGTGGAGCAGACGGCACAATATAACGCTAATACACCTCTCACCTTACCGTTCACGAGCTGACAACTGTCCGCAGGCTAACAACCGCTCTTATGGCTATCCCCGTGGAAACACCTCTCTAAAGCCGATTAACTCCTTACAGCATTTTCTTTGTGCTCACACTGCATAGTCTTGTACACTGTGGATGCTGGGGTGTGTCAGGATCGCTGAGCATGACGTGGCGCCATCCCGTTTTCCACCAATCGCCTCAGGATTCGCAGCGAAGAGGACTATACTGTA